CGTAATTTTCTTGACACGTGTACGCGTCAGGCCATGGGCTCACCTCCTGACGCTTACACGGTTGGTGTCACCAACCGATGCTAAAGATATATTTTTAGTACTGGTTAGTAACACTAACCGAAACTAAAGATGTTTTTGAGACTTGGAATTTTAGAACCGGAATTAAAAATATCTTCAGTACCAGTTCTAAATCTAACCAAGATATTTGTGTTTTGGGTATCACGGTAAAAGATCAATTCTGCACTAGTGCAAGTAAACAAACGCACACCTTTTTTTTCATGAACACACGCCCATATATTAAATAAGGAGTAGCATAAATAGGTAACACGTCGAGATGGTTACTGAGGGAATATAGTATGGTAATTGCCTTTTTGACTGGTAATATCAAGCACCTTCATTCTGATATTAAACAATCCGCATCAAAACATAAAGCTTTACCAACTTTTTTTTTCACCAACCTTATGCAAACACAAAATTATAGAAGTCATTAAACGGAATAAGCATTACTAAACAACATAAGCTGCAAGTTATACAATAACAGGCATGCCTTGGCACGCCGATTTTCTAGTCTACTCACCGTTGGATATTTTGCTAAAAAGAGATTAGGCATGCCACGTCATTAGATTAAAACAAACCATTGGATGATAACTGTGGCAACTAACTCACCATTGGATTGAATATGTTCTTCAAGGCTCTAGATAAGGGTGGAACAATAGTATGTAGGAAAATGCTATATATACGACTAAACTTGTTCGACTTTGGAACGAACTTAATGTCCTGAGTTCATGACGTTAATCTCTGTTGGACTAAGCCATGTTGTCACCTTACTCAGCCATGTATGGAGTTGTTTTACCGTTTGATCGTACGTTGGTCGGACAAACACGTCGTACGTATAGCATTGTTCTAGCAAATAGTACTTGTATTAGTTTAGTCAAGAATATACTCCCTTTGTCCCATAATATAGCAATATAAAATTGGATGATACATTTCATAGTACAACAAATTATGTGTATAATCGTTTAGTTAAGAAATTAAGAGTAGCTCAGGATCCGTCACAAGAATATATTCTCTTCATTCTATCATATAACAATCTAGGACCAGATGGTACAATCTAGTACCATCACTATTGCAGGACATCATGAATGAACAACACTATAAATACCAACAATTCTAAAATCGATACCTATTAAAACATTTCTCATCTCCACGAATTAAAAAGATGTATAACCAGTACCTTTAATAAACTATAGGTGTCGGTTTTAGAAAAAAAAAGCACAAATACTATATGTGTATTTTTTTTAACCAGCACCTTAAATGAAATTAATTATAGGTGGCAATCAATTTGAAAATTATCTTTTCCTTATTCACCCGCGAGCAGATACCGTGAGCAAGAGCGGCGACAATATATTCTTCCTCTCTCACGAGCAGAGCGACGCCAGATCCGACGGACAAGCTTAAGGGCTATCTGATTTGGAGAAGCTCATTCCCAGCAGAGCGGCGCCAGATCTGACGGGCAAGCTTAAGGGCTACCTGATTTGGAGAAGCTCCTTCCCTCGACATCGACAATTGTGAGAGACGACACATGTTTTTTTGTTATAGTGTAGTTGCTATGGGATGTTTGATTCTGTAATTAACTTGCGGCTTACTCAACTCCTTCTATGTTAGATTAATTTGTTATGGGATGTTTGATTCTGTAATGAAGTTACGGCTTACTTAACTTCTTTTATGTATTGTTGGATGTTGATATGGAGATGTTAAAATATTGATTATAATTATGTTCTTGGATGTTAGATCGAACGAGTGATATGGTGATGGAATCTAGTTGTAGGGAAGCTGAACTACATTCGAGTCGATGTATTGAGCAGACTTGTTTTCATTCTTGAAATCATAAAGGTTTCTATTGGGTGTTTTCATTGTTGACCGGTTGGATTTTCTGTAGTAGTGCATTTAATATATGTATAATTTATAAGTGTGAATATACAATAGTTTCGACGAATGAAATAACATGCAAAAATACTGAAAAGTACGGGCTCAACTAATTATGCCTAATTTATGAGTGTCTATCCTCATAATACTATCCATCACCGCTACATATACGTATCAGTTTTTAACCATAGCATATTATTTTTCACCATCACTTTTTGTGCTTCTTTACTACTTTTTTTTTGCAGATTACCCCTTATCACAGGTAGACCATGAGAAACCCTACCTGCGATAATTTTGGTCCAGGGAAGACACAAGCAACCCATGTAAATGAATTATCACAAACAGCTCCCTAAGACAGCCACCTACAAAACACCTCTATTTTCGCAGGTGACTAACTTAGAGACCCCTATAGATAATAAAGCTCATCACAGACATCGTGGTTAAGCTTGACGTCTAAGAAATAGAGATGTTTTCATAGATGGCCGGTGCGCGCGGTTACTCTCTTTCCGAGTATATATATTCCTTCCAATCAGCTGCTTCTTCTCAAGCATGAGGTTTCTCTCTCCAAAATAATTAACATATTGGAGTGTGTAAACTCGAAATATTTGGTGCAATTTGCTACATAAGGTTAGATTCATGTTTTTTTCCTATACTTTTTAAGTTTTTTTTTAAAAAAAAACTATGCATTCAACACAGAGAATTTAGCCATGGAAGGTTGCAGCTAGACCTGTAACATGTTAATTGTAATTTTAGGCTCTAATTGGAGCAAAGCTTTCAGGCCACATCTGTTCATTGGTGGTTCTCATTCATCAATGATTAGATTTGGGAAACTTAAGGCTTTAAATTCAAACTCTGGCACCGTATCAACTTATACTCAGTCAAAAGATAAGCGAGTGGTACTTCTTTCTATTTCATTATAGCTCCGTCTCAACTAGTTCTGGTGCTAGGGGAAGCCATGGTAGAGATGGCAGGGGTAATATGAGCCCGTACAAAGCAACCGTACACAAAAACTGGTAAAAGACATACGAGACATAAAGGGTGTGTTTAGTTCCACGCCAAAATTGAAAGTTTGACTAAAATTGAAAGTTTGAAGAAAAAAGTTAGAAGTTTATGTGTGTAGGAAAGTTTTGATGTGATGAAAAAGTTAAAAGTTTGAAGAAATAGTTAGGAACTAAACCAAGCCAAACAATTGCACAGTTCAAATTTCACAACAGTCTCAGTGGTACTCATTCTATTTCAGCCTTTTTTTACTAATAACGTATTTCTAACCGTGCAATTTCATAATGGATGGATCAATTAAACTTCTTTAACTGCAATACGCGACGATAGAACCATAAATCTATTGATACTGGAATTAATAATTATAGTAAATTGCGCTCGTGGTACATGAACTTGTGTGGTGGGGTACAACTAGGTACAACAACTTACAAATTGCTCATCCTAATGTAGTAACTTGACTAGTCTGTGCGAATTGGGCCAAAATTATCAATGCAAACCAAATCGTTGTAAAACATCACAAATGGATGGCATGACAGCTTACATGTATGACCATATTTTGGATATCCTATTTAGAATCCAAAGAAAAAGAGAAATTATATGTGTAAAATTTCATTTTTGATGCATAGAAAAGAATTTATTTCATGTCTTGGAAAAAGTTGTCCTCTGTATAACTCGTATAATGTCGGGACCAGGAAAAATGTCGTCCATGCCTTAGCCTCATAGAAAATTTATTTTATTTTTCATTCTCAGACACTCCATTTCACCGAAAACTTATTTTAAAAGTTTATTTCCATGGTTGGACATTGATAATTGTTTCACTTTCGTCAATCTAAATATTGAAAATATCAAGTGAACAGTGATTACACATTTTATCAATCCAAATTTTGATGTGTAATAAAAATTACTCGTCAATATGTACCATATTAGATCAATTTTGCTTGCAGAGATCGTTTTGGCCTAGGTTCGCATGGACTTAGCAAGTTGGTGTATCGAAATGAGCAATTTGTAAGTTGTTGTACTTATTTGCACCCACCACGCAAGTTTATATACCGTGAGCGCAATTTACTCTAATAATTAACTAGCTAACTAATACGACTTGTCTTGAAACAACATGTGACAGATTTCCTATGTAAGCAAACATGAATGCTTATTTTGTTTTAGTTAATTAAGCTTAAGTGTCACATTCCGTGTCTCGGTGTGAAAATAAACAAAACCTGATTTTTAAAATAAGAAGTTCCTTTGCCAGCAACAACCTCATGTGCTTAATCCGTGCTATTGCACCGACGAAACATGGATGTTATGTATGTTGTACTATCCTCTCTATCGTCCTAAAAATATAAGAAATTTTCGATGGATGGAACACTTTATAATATAATGATTCTGAACATTCATAGTACTGTAAAATGTTCCATCCATCCAAAATCTCTTATATTTTAGGATAGAGAAAGTATATTGGTTTTTTTTACAGCTCGAAGGACTTCTTCATTTGTCAATAATCTGCATTAGTTTAAGAAGCAACTCTCCTAAAAATAAGTTTAGGAAGCAACTGAGCTTTAATGTGACATGGATGATATGCCATGTGGTTTAATAAAAGTCAAATCCTTGTTCTGATAAAAGTAAAATCTTAGCAGCCGAGAGATCACCCTTGTCACCGTCAACATGCCTGTGTTCTGCGGAAATCAAACTCCATGTCGGCAATGTTGTGAAAGCCCTGCAAACAAATGATATCCTAAAATCAGTTTTTATCGCTTTGATCACAATGATTCGGGTTATAACCCGGCCGTCAACTCGGGCAACCAGGCCAAATGTTAATGTAGAATCAGCTGGTTGAGCCGCATCATGATGAAAAGAACGGGCAATTCGACTGGAGGACCAGTTCCATCACCCTAACTATGATCCAGAACCCGCATAACCCGTGTTCTGCGTACAGCACCGCATTTGCTGGCTGCCTTGGTGTCTCCACTCCCCCAAGTCCACACCACACACTGATGCAACGGCACTTAAGCGCACGAAGACTCGTGGAGGTTTGTTACTCCGTGGGAAGTTACCGTCCCGCTAAACACACGCCCCCATTTCCACTAGTCCACAAACCCCTCCCGAAGTTTAGTCCGAATCGCCCGTCGTTCCCGTGCGACCGGAACTCTCCCTCCCCCCCGCACTCTCACTCGCAGTCCATCATATAGTCCCATACCGCCCGCCTAGTCTCATTGGAAACCACCTCATTAGTCATCCCATCGAGTTGGGTTGAGAGATGCTCACCTTCATGGAGCTCGCGGGGCCGACGGAAGGCGACGGCGGCGGGTCCGTGGACTCCCAGCTGTGGGCGGCGTGCGCGGGGAGCATGTCGTCGGTGCCGCCCGTGGGCGCGGCGGTGTACTACTTCCCGCAGGGCCACGCGGAGCAGGCGAGCGCGGCCGTGGACCTGTCGTCCGCGCGCGTCCCGCCGCTCGTGCCGTGCCGGGTTGTCGCCGTGCGGTTCATGGCCGACGCGGAGAGCGACGAGGTCTTCGCCAAGATACGCCTCGTCCCGCTACGCCCCGGCGACGCGGTGGTGGACGTGGGCGAGGCGGCCGCGGCCGAGGCGCGGCGGGAGGAGGAGAATAGTAGGCCGAGGCCGACGTCGTTCGCCAAGACGCTGACGCAGTCCGACGCGAACAACGGCGGGGGGTTCTCCGTGCCGCGGTTCTGCGCCGAGACCATCTTCCCGGAGCTGGACTACAGCAGCGAGCCGCCCGTGCAGTCCGTCTGCGCCAAGGACGTGCACGGTGTGGAGTGGACGTTCCGGCACATCTACCGGGGCACCCCGCGCCGGCACCTGCTCACCACGGGGTGGAGTCCCTTCGTCAACAAGAAGCAGCTCACGGCCGGCGACTCCATCGTGTTCATGCGTGACGAGGGCGGGAACATCCACGTCGGGCTCCGCCGCGCTAAACGCGGGTTCTGCAGCATCGGCGGCGACGACGAGAGCCTCTCCTCGATTCCCGGGTGGGACCAGTACAGGGGCTTGATGCGGCGCAATGCGACCGCGACCGCGACCGGTGGGAGAACCCCGCCCAAGGGGAAGGTCCCGCCGGAGAACGTGCTCACGGCGGCGACGAGGGCCACCACCGGGCAGCCGTTCGAGGTGCTGTACTACCCGCGGGCGAGCACGCCCGAGTTCTGCGTGAGGGCGGCCGCGGTCAGGACGGCCATGGCCGTGCAGTGGTGCCCCGGCATGCGGTTCAAGATGGCGTTCGAGACAGAGGACTCGTCGCGGATCAGCTGGTTCATGGGCACTGTCGCCGGCGTCCAGGCCTCCGACCCCGTCCGTTGGCCGCAGTCGCCATGGCGTCTCCTTCAGGTACACCTACACGGCACCAACATGAGACAACCCCAACTCGATCACGATAGAGTCGTAGAGTTCTTGATCAATTGGCCTCCTCGCAGGTGACCTGGGACGAGCCGGAGCTCCTACAGAACGTAAAGCGCGTGTGCCCGTGGCTGGTGGAGCTCGTGTCGAGCATGCCCAACCTCCACCTGCCATCCTTCTCGCCGCCGCGCAAGAAGCCGCGCAACCCGCCTTACGCGGAGCTCCCCCTCGAGGGCCAGATCTTCACCGGCCCGGTGTTCCCGCCCAATCCAATGGCGCACGACCACCACCACCACCATGGTTTCCCTTTCCTCCCCTTCCCGGACAGTAGTGCTCAACCTGCAGGCATACAGGGAGCCAGGCATGCGCAGTTCGCTTCACCGTTCCCGGAGTTCCACATCGGCAACCTGCAGCCGAATCTGATGCTCTACGCCGGCATCCGCCTCCCGCCCGCCGATCGCGCCGCCCCCGCTCCTCGCCCGCCGAGAATCATCATCAGCACCGACCTGACGATTGGCAGCCCGGGTAAACCCGACGACGCCGCGTGCTCTCCCTCATCCGGCGGCAAGAAGATCGACGACACCAAGCCGCGGGGGTTTCTCCTCTTTGGACAGGCAATTCTAACCGAGGAGCAGATCAAGAACGGCAACTCCGATGGTCGTCCGGCCTCGCCGAACTGGGACGCCGAGAAGGCGCCTAACACCTCGGAAGGCTCCGACTCCGGCGTCACCCAGGGCAGCCCCACCAAGAACACCACGCCGTCGTGGAGCCTACCGTATTTTGGAGGCAACAACATCAGCCGCGCATCCGAGTACGAGCTGAATCCCGGGCAGTGCAAGGTGTTCGTCGAGTCGGAAACCGTCGGCCGGAGCCTCGATCTCTCGGCGCTGAGCTCGTTCGAGGAGCTGTACGCCTGCCTGTCTGATATGTTCAGCATTGGCAGCGATGAACTGAGGAGCCATCTGGTGTACCGCAGCCCCGCCGGCGAAGTCAAGCACGCCGGCGACGAGCCATTCTGGTGAGCACACTAGCCGTTCGCCCGTTCCTCGTCAATACTAGTTGTATTTACCACTCGGTTATCAATTCTTGATCTGAAACTTAGCGACTTTTCTGTCATTTGCAGCGCGTTCGTGAAATCGGCGCGTAAGCTTAGGATACTGACAGATGCTGGCAGTGACAACCTGGGAGATTAGAAGAAGTAATAAATCAGCCGAATAACTTAGGGCGCTACTCCTAGTCTTTTAGAAGCAAAAATAAGCCGAGAGCTGCATGCACGTACAGCTGCATGAGCTGCGGTTTCTCCTTGCTCCAGTCCAGTCTAGAGATTTTTATTCAGGGTAAAGCTGATGCAGTCTTCAGTTAATTAGGTGTTTTTTAGTCCTTTTTACAGCTTTCTCGCTAGGGGTTTCAGGTAACAACTACTAGCGCAAAGTGCAGACAGAATGTAGTCTTTGCACCTTGGTCATCAAATCAAATGTACTGGTACTTCTTTTATTCTCATTCGGCGGATATTGAGCCTTAATTTGTTTCACGAAATTGAATGCTTCTGCCGCACCAGACCAAGGTGACAGGATTAGTGCAGGTGCAGGCTTACCTGTATGCAGTAATTACTATCTGCCGGAATATTTACTCGGCGCTGGCACTGCTGATTCTGAATTCTGTATAGAGGCTCTCAGCTCCAGGCATTTCATTTGTCCCCTTCTTTGCCTGAGCTGGTACTGTACATTTATGTTGCGTATCCTGATGCCTTTCGGGCATTAATGCCCCCGTCTTTTAGCTGCAGATGAAAATTATTGTGTTGCCCGGTCATTTAGCCGAAAATATTGTTGCAAGAAACAGACATCTCATCTAACAAAACCAAAACAATAGTGTCTGCAGCAGCAGTGCCCATTCCATTATTGTTCCACCCCATCACTGTTTTGCTCATTTTCTTTGATTGGTTGTTCCACCCATGAGGCCATGAGGACTTCGTTGAGAACGCATAAATTTAACATGATTCCACATGAATCAATTAGTGCTCATAAAAGATTTCCGCGTTCCAAAGGAAGCATAGAAGACAATGAAGAAGCATCGGTCGTCATAACTGCAGTTCTGCTGAGAACCAGGCTTGAAAATGGTACAACATGGCTTGGTTAATCTTCTTTGGATTCTTATTATACTTCTCATGCGACATAGTAGTTGAGACCAATCAACAGCAAATGTAGTCAAATCGCACCACCACACAATTAGACCTGGGGATCGTGTTCACCAGAATACAAAGGGTGATCCATTGCTGGTTTGGTCCGGGGGTTTGCTTGTGTCGTTAGGTGTTCTTGGGGGTCTCGCATCTCTGTCATGAGATCAACAGGTGGGAGAGAAGGTAAGGTTAGGGGGCAAGTAACCGGCGAAAGATGCCAAGTCGCCCTGAAACTGAAAGAATGTCACACCCAGGATTGATGGGGGCGTGTGATCAGACAGGCCTCCCTTTTTGCTGGCCTGGGAAGGTTGCTGTCTGTCCTGGCTGCGTTTCACACATCGACACCGATGGGTCTGAGACTGAGACTCTCTCCGTAGTGCTGGATTTCAGAGCACGAACGTAAGCTGTTCACCTAAACACAACACAGGCCGTTGATTGTTTAATTAGTCAGGGGGAGTCTCTGACAAGAGCTTGCCAAGGTGCCAAGGGAAATAAATCAATAATAATGGCAGGTCAAGGGGAAGGGGTTTTTTTTTTTGTGTACTATAGGCATGCAGACTCATGACTTTGGAGGCAAGTTGCCATGCTTTGTGGCGCAAGTGTTGGGCTTGCTAATTAATCCGGCCTTAAAGGTTTGGTTTGTCGGGATTGCGAAACTAATCTAGGAATTGTACGGTGATCAGGGCTTTCTGATTAATAAACTCGATGTGCCATATATATTGTATCACAGTGAGAGCGTGAGAGGACAACCTAGTGGCAAATCATGAGTAGTACTAGCAAATTACTACTAGAACTGTAAAATGGTAGTACTCCCTCTCCTACATGGTTAGCACTTTTGATACACAATGTGTCAACAGTGAACTTGTGGCCTCTTGCCATCACCATCATATTCTGCTCTGAATCATGTTCTTTAACTTGTAAATTCAAAATATCTTTTTTTTTCAAAAAAAATAAATTCCGAGTATAATCATGATATATAAAAGAGTAGGGCTGTCCATTAGTCTGGTAAATCATCAGCTTTCAGTATACTGCTGGTGAGTGATGCGTCCATGCTACTGCAAACGCTGCAAACTGCAAAGCAAAGCATGGTGTTAGAGTATATTATCATGCAGCGTACGGTTGGGAGGTCGCCTTCGCTTGACCTAACCGGGGTTTTTGTTAGTTTGCTGGTAGTGTTTTGGTTGGTCTTAGCCTGTCGATGGCTCGATGCTAACACTCCAGTATACTATATGTGTGGCTTGTCGGTGCCTGTAGCAATTGCTGTCAGCTAGCTCTTGCTTTCCCTTCAAAGAAGGGAATGGGACATAATTAAATCGATTTGAAATCGTTAGCATCGGATTTAATATACCTAAAAAGAAAAGGCATACGGTTGGTCTACGTTTGGTACAGTATCTGACAGCTCCCTAAATTAATTCATACGGCATGGTAATATGGTAGTATTACAGGATAAACTGGAGTAACCATATACACCAAACAGTACACTTCTCGCCAGAGTGTTAACGCATCATTAGATAACGTACTACTACCTCCGTCCCATAATATAGTAACATAATACTGGATGTGACATTTCATATAACAATAAATCTAGACATCCTCCTGATCAGATTCGTTGTACAATGTCTCATTCAGTACTACTCCCTTCGTCCTAAAAAAGGCAAACCCTAGATTTCCGTATCTAACATTTGACTGTCTGTTTTATATGAAATTTTTTTATAATTAGTATTTTCATTGTTGTTAGATGATAAAACATGATTAATATTTTATGCGTGACTTGTCTTTTTAATTTTTTTATATTTTTTTAAATAAGACGGATGGTCAAACGTTGGACACGGAAATCCAAGTTTTGTCTTTTTTTGGTACGGAGGGAGTAGGTTGCTATATTATGGGACGGAGAGATTAATAACTAATTTCTACCTTTGGGCAAAGGGAGAGAGATTTGAAACGACTTAACGACATGAGGTGCAGGTGAGAGAGGTCAGTAGCGTGTGTGAGCCAGCTGCAGGAGACAGTGAGGCAAGCCATGAATGGACACCAGGCAACGCAGACGAGACGAGAGGTCGTCAGTGGTGGAGCAGGAAATGTCAACCGGAGGGTCAAAAAGTCAGCGAGGCCACGGTGGGGACGCCGTGGCACACTGCACCATGTCGGCCTGGATGTCTCACTGGTTGATTAATTAGAGCAGGTACTATAGCAGACTATTAGCCAGCTATAAACATATTTTAATAAGATAAAAAATGAGAGAGAAGAGCAACGGGCTACAGATCTGTAGCCAGCTGTAGCACAGACTCCAAGACGCAGTGTGTGTGACAGGTGGGACAGTATAGTAAGCAACTATTGTATGTATTAGCTATTAGATTAGCTATAGATGAATTAGAGCTAGTAGTGGGCTATACTTTTGAACTTGCTCTTAGCTCATTAACATACTAATTAATCAACTATCCAGCCCGTTGGTTGATTACTTTGTTTATTGGAGTACTCGCGTTTAGAGGAGATCAACGAGAGAGAGATTGATCGGGGGAGAAATGGCCAAGCGCTCGTGTGGGTGATGCGCCGGTGACGACATCTTAGCGCCGGGGCGAATGTTTCGCCGTTTGGTGGGCACCGCCTGCCTCCCTGCCGATTGCCGCCTTTTTCCAACCGCTACTTGCCAGTTGCCAAGCCGGTCTAATTTCACAGCAAAGCCAGAGTTGGTCAATCGGATTTAACCAGCAGATTAGACCGGAACCAGCTCAAAATTGAACAGCAAAACGCTAATGCTCTGAGTCAGATTCAAAAAAGGAGGGAGACACAGACACTTTGTACTCGTATGTGTGATCTGTTGACAACTTGACATATAGACTTTACTAAAGCAATAATACGAGTACTCGTAGTGTAGACTGCAGAGCTAGCTAGTGCAAGGTTGGCTCTTTTGATAGTAAGAAAAACAAAATCAATGCGCTATTATTATGCAACTTTGTCTCCGCGGCTCACGTGCGCGTGCATGGTAACCAAGACAGCGACCGGCACCAACCATCCCTTGCCTTGCCTGCCTAGTGACCCTAACCGTGCAACCTACGGATGCAACATATAACGTGGGCTGTGCTGCTAATTTTGATCTTAGTACTATTACTATTAGCACTTCCCCATTCTACATTGAGAGAGCGTAGTACTTTACTAGGGCAGTCACAACCTATAACACTAGATATGGTTTCCATAAATTCTGCATCATCAATACTAGACACTACTCTTCCAATACAAACACCACTATTTTATACTTTAATTCAATGCCACTTATCTCACATGATGTCTTGGATGTTGTGTAGAAACCATGTCTCATGCAAGACATGGTGTCCTTCTCTTTCCTCATTTATTCACTTGCCACATCAATTTTTTTTATCCTAGGTGGCAACTTATTTAATACTATAGACACCATCATATCCATTGGGTTAGGAATGCACTAAGTATATTCCTACGTGCATAGCCAGTAGAAAAGTCACCTAGTGGTGTGGGCCTCCTTGCTTTCAGTGCTCGCATTGCAGCAACAAACAATCAGCCACAGAGGGACCAAAAAAAAGGGGCTGCACGATCGCTAGCTGATGATCCCGATGCCTGCAGCTCTGATTAGTCCCAAGTAGTACTAGTATTAATGTTGTTGATAGTGTAGCTGCTTTGTCGTTGGTCGATTTGACCGGCGAGCTTCGGCCAGGGAAAACCGGCGTGACTTCCTCCGGTGCCCGGCCTCAGACAGCGGCACGGTGTTCCCGGGGAGGGACGCGCGTGTTGATGGCTTTGTTTGATATCGCCCCGCTCTTCGGCGTCGTCATCGAAGCTGCGTGCTGAGCGCGACGCGAGCAGTTGGAATAGAAAGATCTGTCCCTGTGCCAATCTGCGTGTGCACGAGCGGCCTTGGGAAACGGGAATTGGTGGTACCCCTGGGGGATGGCTGATCGGCGATCAGTCGCGCGCAGCGCGCGGTCAGTTATGGCCTTCTAGTCTCTCTCATCTACAGTGCATACATACATATGTATGTGTGTATGTGTGTGTGTGTGTATATATATATATATATATATATATATATATATATATATATACTCCCTCTATTTCAAAATTTTTAACACCGTTGACTTTTTAGCACATGTTTGACCGTTCATCTTATTAAAAAAATTTATGAAATATGTAAAACTATATGTGTACATGAAAGTATATTTAACAATATTTAACAATGAATCAAATGATATGAAAAGAATAAATAATTACTTAAATTTTTTGAATAAAACGAATGGTCAAATACGTACTAAAAAGTCAACGGTGTCAAACATTTTAAAACGGAGGGAGCATGTATACAAAGTTTATACGTATGTATATAAAGTATACATATACATATATATATATATACATATATATAGTGTATTTATATTTTTTTGTGTATATGTATAAAAAATATATACACAAATATAAAATTTGTATACGATGTATACAAATACAAAGTTTGTATACGTCGTATATAAAATTTTTATATATGTATACAAAATATACCAACTTTATATACGTATATACACAAAGTTTGTATACATGTATGCAATGTTTGTATACGTGTATACAAACTTTGTATACGTACATATACAAACTTTCTATCCGTATCCTTTTTTTATACGTGTATATAAACTTTGCATACGTGTATACAAACTTTGTATACGTACATATGAAAAAACCGAAAAAACTGAAAAAAAATACGGATAGAAAAAAACGGTGGAAAAAAAACCGCGGAAAAAAACAGAACAAACAAAAAAAAAAGGGACGTGCGGGAAAAAAAGGAAACCGAAAAAGAAAAGAAACCGTTCGGAAAAAAAAAACCGCGGAAAAAAACAGAAAAAAAAGGAACGTGCGGAAAAAAAGGAAACCGAAAAAAAAAAGAAAACCGCGCCGCCGCCTGCGCCCCTCTCCGCGCGCGACACGTGTCCAGTCGCGCGGGAGAGGAGGCGCGCGACTGATCGCGTATTAGCGTTCTCGGGTACCCCTGCCCATGTGCATGCGGTGATCAGATAATTTACGAGCACCTATCAGCTATTAGAGCATCTCCAACAACCTCCTTGTTCCCCTCTCCAAGTTAAATTTTGAAGATTTGAGAGTAAAATCGCCCTCCAACAGACAGACTGGCTAACCAGTAGCCAAACTCCTCCGCGCGCTGGCTAAATTTGGCGAGCCAAAATCGGCTAGCTAATCATGGGCCCCATGTTTCCCCACTCCCCCCCCCCCCCGCCGCCCCTCCGACGAGGCGACGATGCCTTCTCTCCACCGGCGCCGCCTCCACGCCACCCCTCCGCTGGCGCCGCCCTATCCGCCATCGCGCCGTACGAGACGAGACGAGCCAAAAGGAGAGGAAGAGTGAGAGAGAGAGAGATTGAGAGAGAGAGAGGAGGGCTTCTCTCGTCGTCAGCGGCGGCGATGGCGGCGGGGGCAGGGGCGGGAGAAGGGGTGGTGACTCTGCCGAGGCCGCCGCCTGCGCCTACGACGCCGCCGCGAGGTCGAGGCCGCCGCCTGCCCACACCTGTCGAAGAGGACAGGGCTGTCTCGCGCATGCACGGATCTGCCATCGTCATCCGCCGTCGCTGCTCGGGTACTGCCACCGCCGTCACTCGGTTTCTTCCGCCTCCCCGCATCGCTGCGCTAGTTGCCATCCCGCGTCGCGCCGTCCATCGCCGGCCCTGCGGTGACATCCTCCCGGGCCGCCGTTCCTCCCCCGCTTTCCACTGCCGGCGCGCAAGGACGAGCGCCGCCGCCAAGGCGCCGATGCCGGTCACGGCCTCCTCACACCTGCCGGCCTCGCCGCCGCTGCACCGGCCGCCGTCCCACGCCCGCGCCCCTTGCCGCGCCTCGCTCCCCTCCGCTCGGACGCGCGCGCGTGGGGAAAGAGAAGAGGATGAGGGGGAAGATTAGGCCGCTGTTATTTTGGAGAAGAGTAATAGAGTCTGTTGGAATGATTATCTAGTTTGACTAGCCAAATGAGATGGAGAGTTGGCTATATAGGTGTTTAGAGAGTCTAATTTAGAGATGTTGTTGGAGATGCTCTTACTAGTAGTATAGTACTCCATCCGTCCCAAAAAACTCAACTTTTAGAATTTGAATTTTGTCAAAAAAAAAACAACTAATACCATCCTACCTACCCTCAGCACGTTAAACGAAAAGTTTTATCCCTTCAATACACTTTACCTACCTATCACTCTTACTACTTTTTTCAATAATTAAGGGCATTTTAGTCATTCTCACCCTCCACTAATTCCATTTTCACCATGTCTTAGTCAAGAAAATTTTTTAGCTATACCTCACCTATTTTCACCATGTATGCACTCCTTCAATACAAACTTAGACACCCGCATCAGCTTAAACTCGATTTAAAGTAGAGTAAATTAAGCAAGTGGCACCACTCTCCATTTCGCTTTAGCTCCGCCCCTGCAGAGAGCATCTTCAGTTCTCCAATGTGGGCTCTCTGAGCGGTTGAGCGATTGCCTCTTCGTATCAACTTCGTTATTTGATTGCCTCTTCTCATCAACTTCGTTATTTGAAGACACAAGACATGGGTAGTAAACTTGAACAATTGCTAATCTCCCGCAGCTACACCACAAATTTTGCGAGGCAGGGGAAGAGCGCACTACTGTCCTCCATGATATTGTGACTGTCCTGCGTGATATTATATTGTGATATACTGTATGTCCCTCTCTGGCCTCTATGCATAGCTTAAGACGTGAATGCGTGCTGGGAAACTTTAAGAACGGAATGGAGTGGGTTTTTCTTAGGTTGTGACTAAACCACTAATGTGACGTGCATTTCTTTCCTAGTAGACACGATCTAAACCAAATCCATGCTGGGCAACAAAGACGTACTATTGATTTCCAAGATGTGACCATGTTATTACTCCGCATAAACTAGAAGATGGTGACTCTTCACAGCACAATATTTCAGCCCCCTTTTTTTTTCATAAAACCGTAATGCAATTTATGTCCCTCTATGCATAAAGACTGATGCTTTGATTCTGAGGATTAGACTAACAAAGGTCAGGCATATCATAAAGCTGAGGATTGAAGACATTTTTACATAGACTGTTATGGATATTCTGATTAACCACCGGTCAACAAGTGAGGATCAAGAAGCTCCAGCATCAACTCATAAATTGGCAAGGCTTCAGAGAAATACCATCGTGTTGATCAGGGGCTTGCAAAATTAATCATTTTTGCATGTAAATAGAATAAATGTACCAGTCAGAAATTGACAATGAAGAATGTCTAAAATCTGGTAATGCCTTCGATTTCTCCATGACCACGAGTACATACAAAACCACCAATCCTTTTTTGAGGAATCAAAGCATCAGTCTTTATTACAGCCATTATTACATCTCAGCATTTTCACATGAAACTATGAAACTGCTCGTTCGTAAGAAACATATTTGAACCCGTGGCTATCCTGTATGTTTGAGGCCCCTATCACATGATTCTGTTAAACGGAAGTTGCTGGCAATTTTCGTGTACATTTGTTGGCTATAAGTGTAAACTATGTGGTGGTGTGATCGGATATGCATATCTAAATTAGAAAAAGTAAACACTACGAATACCCTAAGTCTGGTAAAGAATAAGTATGGCTAAATATTGACAGGAAGAGCGGTCAAGAAAGCCAATGTATAAGGAGAAGTAGACTTGCCAAAGGGTGCACACCATCCTGGAAGCTTCTCGAGAACCCTGCCAACCTTCGGTGTAACTCTATTCACATCCGTTCTTAGTTTTAGTAAGAAAGAATGATCTTCTGATTCGACTTGCTTTGGGAATGCATCCTTGGAATTACTTGCCCAGAAAAGGGTTAGCTGAAATTTTGTTGGTGAGTCCTTACCACCAGCAAACTGGATTGTATGCCACCCATCGATCTCGCTCTTATTACCCAGTGGAACCAAGTTCTCCGAATCCACTGAATAAAATAGCATGTAAAGGTCAAATAACATGAAAACAACAGTTATCTAGAATTATAAAAAAGTATTTGTTTGGGAAAGGTTAGTGGTTCATGTAAAATGCATTGCAAAAATCACCATGAACTTGTCACTATTTGTCTTGGTTTCTTGTAATCAACAAACATAATAGAGTGGATTTTAATCATCTAAGTAAATAAGAGTGCAATGGCACCTTGTTATGGTAACCATTTCGCTCACTGCCTATTGGTACTTGGGCTAATAAAGTAATTTACTCTCTACTGGTGACTATAATACATTATCATAGCAGCTGTCAAACTAAAGTAATTTACTCTCTACTGGTGATTATAACGTTCAACACTGTGTTTATTTGATAGTTCAACTTACCATGAACTGTGAAGTCATCAATTTCTTGTTTATTGATTGCCAGTGACCAACGCGTAGATGACTTAGTATCAACTGATATTATTGTTTGTCGAGCATCATTGGTAACAGAATCACTTTTCAAACTGAGCACTGGCACTTCTGATTTGCTCCATCCAGTATTGGTCCCTTCGTAACTCAAACAGCCATATTTCATGGTAAATGTAACAAAATCAATAGCCCTATTCCTCCCACAAGAAAATTCTTCATCTCTAAGGTCTACTAATTCCTTTGTCAACTTTCCAGGTGTATTGGAGAACAGAGTAACATATGATGATGGTTCTGTATTACCACTATTCACCGTTGTAGTGTCAACAACATGCACAACCTGAGCAGAAACAAATCGTTAAATAGTTATCCAATAAGTATGATAATTAATCTTGTATTGGTTGATGCAGTGTGAAAGGGACATGATTAAAAAAAGTACATGCAAGCAGGATTCTAACAAGAGAACAGATTTCCAAGCATTTTAGGACAGAAATATTTATATATCACACAAAATCAGTATTGTATTGTTGTCAATATGAACTCTTCTCTATGTACAAGTAATTGTACAACTTAAGGTACATTTACTCTTTTCTTGCTGTTACCCCTTGCCGAACAATCTTCGTTGTCAAGTATTGCAAATTAATATTCGGATGGTGGTGGGAATATGACAAAGAATTAACTATATATTTAAGAGAGAAACAGTAGCCTGTTTGACAATGATGAATGGCATGAAGGCCATTCCATATGCTCAACTCTTATGCAGAAAATAGTAACAGTAAAAGAAACTTAGAAGTTTGAAAAAAGAGGATACATGTAAACTTCCATTTCGTTTAAAAGCAGACTTGCATTTGTCATACACATCAAAGATGACCACAAAAGGTTGTTAAAACATATGAATATATGATTAAAAGAACCAAAAATGTCATCACCAGGTTATGGATTGGACAAAGAATGAAAAATAATAGAAATAATATGAAAATATCACTGCAAAACCAAAAAGTTATGGTTCATTTACTCAAAAAAATGATAACAAGATTTTTCAGATAAATCCAATGGTTTAACTGAATTGTACAGTAATTGGTATTTAGAAGTGCTTACATTTACAGACCGAGCAATATCCTCCGTGAATGCAGGGAGAATGCCACTTGACACCAGTGCAAGTGCAAGACCAAAGAATATACATAACAGAAAACCAAGAGTCCTTTTAGCACCTAAAGGAAAACAATATTTGGGGATATCAACCTCTTTGCGATGTTTTGAACAAAGGGAAGACTATATGCAGTTAAGCAATGTGGACAGGTGTAACAGTTTGATGCAAAACCTACTTTTGAGATTTTGAATAAACATGATTACAGAACAATGTAACTGCAAAGGGAAGCAAAGCATGACGATATATCTAGCATGTCATGGTTTACCTGATATATGAACGTAAGAAAGAAGATACACAAAGGTAAAACATATGACAATAGCAATGGCAACAGAGACTACTACATTGCCAAGCCAATCTGGTAGGCCACCAGGGTTCCTGCAAATTTAAGGTACACATTAGTTTGGTTGATTTAAATTAACTGATATGGTGCCTTATAAAATCTATTAGCAGTTAAGTTACAAAGTATTTACAGTCGTATCCAAAAACAGCATATCTTAAAACAGAGAACCCTCTTGGAGGTTCCAAGCTCAATATATGTACCTATCAATGCGTACAATACTCCCAATTATAACATCAACCATGCGAATAACTAAACCAGCAGATGAGACAACTGGTGCAGCCAATGCCAGAACCAATGTAATAACCTTGAGCTGTTTAGGTGACCGAGCAGGAGATAGTGTTGCTTCCATAAGACCGTCTGCAAAGAAATAACAGCTGTGAATACTCGAGGTAAATATTAATCCATCACCTTCATCAGACAGTAACAGTAACTTACATGCAAAAGCAGGCGAAACAAGCCAGATGAGTGCTATGTAAGATGATCCAACCTTCAAGTATGTTCCCAGTATCAGAACTATTAGCCATTGTACAAAACCAGATTTAAAAATCCACCTCTCAGCTTCCAGGTTAACAATTTGTTCCAGCATGTTATGAGCTAGTCCTGACTTTGTTATAGAATATACATGTTTAAGATGCCTTTTCAAAATAATGAATCCAATATGTTGACCGATGAATGCCCCAAGTAGTGCAGGTGAACCAAATAACCCAACTACTAACCATGGGTGCGCAACAAATGTCACAGGAAAGGAACAAATATGTGGCAGAGCAATTGCAACCACAACTGATAAGGTAACAGAAGAAATTAACATAAGAACAATGCCCAAACATGATATTCCAAAGGACACAAGGCCAGGCCGTCCACCCATAAGCAATGAAGTTCCCCAGATAAGAAGGGACTGAAATATTATTGAGTTGTGAAACATGGTTGTAAGTCGCTGTGGATATACTACCATGTACTTGCCCTGCAAAATTGTAAAATACATGTGAGCTTAAGCAAAAGAAAATTCAGTTATATTTTTACCAGATGGCAACATAGATAATGTATATTATTTATGCGTGATGTTTTCCAGAGAGCAAACATATAGGGCATTGCATGGCCTAAAAATAATCTATGATGACACCAAATGAAGAGAATTTATTGTTATACCAGAATGTCGAAAAAAACAGCTTTGGTCTTCTCTGCACCCTCTTGCTTTGCTTGTATTGCATCTTTCATAAATTTTGGTGATGCGGCAGCATGAAGTAGGAAAGCAAGCATATTTTCTCCAATATGCTGAAGGGATCCTGGTTTCAGATGCTTCATTTTGTCATTCTGCACAAAGAAAACAAAAGGACTACCATGACTCCATGAGTATAAAAATATTTATGATTTGGAGAAAATGTATTAAAGTTTTCATCAAATATTTCAATCTTAAAATACATTTCCTAACATTATCTATATTGCCATTTGACCTAGTTTTCTTTTCAGGGTAAGAGGCGATCTGAGCCGTTAACTCGGCATTAACTTCTATATAAGGTGAGCTTCAAATGTTGGCACATATATATCGTCTCATGTCATCATAGTAATCAAATATCCAGGATCAAATGGCCGTATATCATCTTTTAATGTATATGAATGAATCAGTTAGATCCACAAGAAGAATGAAGTACATGGGCAGTCCGGAAACTTGTGCGTGTGTGTCATCTAGGTCCCTGAACTCCCAAAATGCATTTTTTGGATCCCCGAACTTGTCTTGAGTGTCATATATGTCCAAACGGATTCTAACCCGCTCCATGCGCTGACGTGGTTTGCCACGGTGGCGCCTACATGTTAGTGAGACCTACATGTCAATCCTACATATAAATAAAAGTGAAAAACCAAATTTTCTCCTCTTAGTTAGAGAGGAAAGAAGATAAAATTATATTTAAAAAAATCTAAGGTAGCGAGGAGAAAATATGTTTTCTTTAATTTTATTTTTTTCTACGTGATTGACATGTGGGTCCAACTAACACGTAGGTGCCACGGTGGCATGCCACGTTAGCGCATGGAGCGAGTTGGAGCCTGTTTGGACCTATATGACACCCAAGACAAGTTTGGGAACCCGGAAATACATTTTGAAAGTTAAGGGACCTAAATGACACACTCGCACAAGTTTAGAGACCGCCCGTGGACTTCATCTCCTTTAGATGTATTACTGTTTTTCTTTCGGTGGAAACGGCCAATATGAAGAGTTGCATTGCCTTAATTTCAAGATCCATAACCTTTAGTTCTTCCAACAAGCAAGGTAAGCAAGAGCAGTTGGCTCATTGACTTAGTATGAAATTTATGGCATTAGCTGTATCAATTATCTTGCTCAAACTAGTACAAACAAAGAATTATTAATTGATTGGGTTCTATAACTTTTTGTTTGGGAGTTTGTCTACGGATATAAATAGCCATGCCAATTTGTTCAGACAAAGGAAAAACCATGAGCTAAATTTGGCATTACTGACTACCAGGGATACAAAAATGTATTTAAGAAATCATCAAAGCAAACCTTCGTGTGATAGACTGATGTCCTATCTGTATAAGCAAAATCAAGACCAGGAAGACCACCAACTTCCTGATATATTTGAAAATCAGTAGCAGATTTTATTGCTCCAGACTGAAAAACGTCCTGCAAATACAGATTCGAGCTATGTCATATTTGCAATGTATAATTAATACAACTCAGGGATTGGCCTATGCTAAAATTACATGTAAAAGTGGAACTTCTTCTATCAATCTAGTGATAGAGCCAAACCTGAATTTTTCAAATGCAATTTTAGCACCAAGCAAGTCACATCCATGTTTTTTAATGGCAAAAATAGTTGAAGTGTTTCTAAAACTGATGATAAACAAGATATTACTTTGTTTAGCATCTGCTAGCCCAACAAAAACCTGGCATGTGAAAATAACTCAAACTTCTGGAGCAGAGCTATTTATAAATATCTACTGCACAAACCAAGGGAAATAAACCCCTCTAGGTAAAAGAATATTTGAGACTACAAAACCCTACAATTGAAAAGAGATGATATGCTACCGGTCCACTAAAAAAATGATATGCTACCTGTGAAGCTATCTGAGCAGATGGATATTTGGCTACAGAAGCAAAGCTTTCCAGAGCCCAATGATCTGTACCCTGTTACATGGGGGGAATTTAACAAGTTAAGTTAGTATTCAAAATAAATATTTCAATTACACATTGAACAAAGCGACATGGCAATCCAAAATATTTGAAGCAATTGCAAAAAGGAATTCGGTGCCAAATTGTTAATCTCCCAGGAGTTCTTTTTTCCTGCCGTATGCAAATAAGTGGACCTTAACTCGATTTACTTGATTGTCAGAAACCCTATTTACTAGTGTCAGCAATAAAGTAATTACAAAACAAGGAAATAATAATTTTGCAAAATAAAGTGCTGAACAAGAGTTATTTTGCCAGATGGACTAACAAAAATCTAGAACCTTACCTGGAAGAGAGTAGATTTCCCGCTGATACCCATAGCTTCCAAATCGATTGCAAAACGTACTGAATTTCTCCAGCGGTGCTGCACAAAAAATATTAAATCACATTATATGGTCTATATTGAGTGAGTGGTAACCTGTGAATCAGTGGAATCTTCATAACGGAATGCTTAAAAACAACAAACTCAAGGTTAAATTTTAACTCATAGTTTGATGTGCAAGACTTGATATTTTAACATTTTGCAGAAGGGAAAAAACATCTTCAGTGGTAAGTGAGAGAATAGATAAGAGTTTACTATTTTACATTTACACATGAGGTTTCATCATCACCTACCTCTACTCCTTTCTACGTGATGTGAGTCATGCAGAGTTGCAGACTCCAACGCAATAGACGATTACAGGGGAATTTTGCACTATTTTAACACTCAGTTCAGACCAAATGTACAGCCATAACATAAATTAAAAAGGAATCCCAAACCTTGTGCCTTAATTAGCATATAATACTTCTTGACTTCTAGTATTATGTTCCTAATGCACTAATGCCACACCCTGTGCTGAACTGTGAAAACCACTAAACCCCCATTCCCGTGCAACAGAGGATACTCAAAACTGGTACTGATGTAAACCACCCACCCCCATTCCTACACAAAATGAAAATGATGCATGTCCACGACAAATCTAACCAGATATGAGACTATCAGAACCTGCAACCAATTAGTTGATGTGATTGCAAAATGCAAGCTCAGGTGCTGGTTCTTTATTAAGTACTTCCTCCGTTTCGCAATGTAAGTTATTCTAGCATTTCTCACATTCATATTGATGTTAATGAATCTAGATAGATATATATGTCTAGATTCATTAACATCAATATGAATGTGAGAAATGCTAGAATGACTTACATTGTGAAACGGAGGGAGTATGATGATACTTTTTAGGAAATACACAAAAGTTTGAATATCTTTGCATTAAGATTGGAATTAAGCATGAATGTTTTTTAGGGAATATACAAAAGTTTGTGTATCTTTGCATTGAGATTGGAATTAAGTATGAAGATACTGGGATAAAGATAGTGACCTGAGTTATAAAACTATGGGCACCATCAAGACCTTCTTCTTCCCCTGTGTTGAATAGAAACAGGACACCACTCTTAAACCCATGAGCCCACTGAGCCACTCCTCGTGCAAGCTCTAACATGACTCCCACACATGAACTACAATCTCCAGCACCTTCGCTGAAAAAGCAAAGTATGTTTTCTCAACAATGACATGGACAAAAAAAAAATGCATAAGCTATTTCAACAAATCTGCCACAGCACTGTGAATTGCAACAGAATCCTCAATGTGCCAATAAATTATACCGTTATTAGTAGTATTAGATAAACAATCATATCTGTCAAAATTACCTTGAAAAGCAACCTGAACAAAGTAACAAGGAACAAGGAACATGGCCTGTCAATTAGGCAATCTCTTTGTATGGTTCCTACATGTCCAGAGCTTACATTTTAGCTAAAGCTTCTAAAGTTATGTGCTATATCCTATCCTGTCTTCAGTCAATGATGCATCTTGAACTAAGTTTTGCTAAAAATTCCTAATCATGTTATGTATGGCAACTTTTGTATCTACACATCTCTCCTGTCTATGTTAAAAGAGAAGAGGACTCTCAGGTCAAATATCCATCTAATCCCATGTTTTCCTTATTGAATTTCTTCCAGCAAACCCTCTGCCTGACCCTTTCCAATTGATCACTAATGTGGCACTCATGTTGGATTGTTGCAGAAGGGTACAATGGTCCACAGTAATAAAGAATTTAATGCACTAATTTGGCTAGAAGTGTAAAGTCATGTAAAAACTCCTACTCAACAAACTTAAACTGAATCAGTACAGTGATTTCATTGTATCACACAAAGCAGAAGCAAAACTGAGACAGAGCCTTACGTCGTGGAAACTGTATCGATATGAGAAGAAACAAGAATCAAATTGTCCTCGGCTTCTGGTAAATACTTGGGAACAACTCTCAGTATCACATGCTTAAGGTTTGAATACAGCATAGTTTTTCCATTGAAAAGGCCACCAGCCATACGATTTGCACCAATATCTGTGTGGAACAGCTCCAGTTGGACATCAACATCCCAATGAGCTGTCTTCTTTATTTTATCTGCTACTGCATATACATACTATAGCATGGACATGTCAGAATTGATGGTACATCTAAAAGAAAATGATCTAGAATGCTAACATTCTAGCAATGGTATATAAGTGAATAACAACATACTGATAAGAGGAAGAATAATAATAAATGAAACATTAAATCACAGGAGGAGAAAACAGTTTTATGGGTCCTCACTATTAACTTGGTGTTTTACCAGAAACTTGCAAATTGATTATCATTTCTTATAATTATATCTTGGGACTACTGCATAGCATTTGCGGTTGTATGGCAGCACCATGTATCCTATATACTTATAAAGTTGCTCCTCACTAAGTGTAGTTAATGCTAATTCTCTCTTCTCTCATGAAACAACAGCAACTTAATTGTCTTTAGCTTTTGGATCATTTATCTATGGTGCAAATTGCCCATCTTCTCTCATGAAGCCATGCACATACACATACGTCAATTTGTTTCTATCTTTTTTTTCTACCACAATCACCTCAAAATATTTTTAGCATTTGGATCTGATCTATTTTCTATTTTCTCTTATGAAGCTACATCATCTATATTTCTAACATTGGAGGATCACCTCAATTTATTTTTATCATTTGGATTATTGATCTATTAACTATTTTCTCTTATGAAGCTACATCATTTATATTTCTACAATTGGAGGTTCTATTTAGATGTTATTGTGTAAAGCAATGTGAAGTCAAATTGTCTAGATACAAATTTTATTTTGTACTTAATGTTTACATATTATCATAACTTTCCCACAGCAGAGCGTGAGGTTTCATCTAGTTAAATATATGGAAGTGTCCATTTCGTGGAGCTTCAGAAAAAGTTAATCTTAGGAGAAGTCTTTGATACAATTAGATTGATAATTTGCTAGTAAAACTAATAACTTTAAAATACTTATTGCACACAAGGTTTCTCACTTTCAATGTATTTACTAATCTATAATGAAATAATCCCAAAGAGTGTAAAAAGGTAAATTATTTCACCAAGCTAGATAATTGAATTATTGCAACTTAAATATAGTATCGACAAGAGAAAATTTGCAGATTGAAGAAGCCTATCCCCTATTATAGAACTCTATGCCTCTACCAACAAACAGTATAACACAATTTTATTTCTTCTACTTTTTTGCAAATAATAACACAACTAGTATTAACTCTATAGCCAACACCTGGTTCCAGCTCCATAGGAAAGTTAAGTGTCTATACATCAATGGGTAACCATGAAGGATACTGAAATACTTAGTAAAAACAATGAAATTGTAGGTCTGATAGCTAATAATATAAAAGCAAGTGGCTTGAAACTTATAGGAGTATAGGACAACCTGAACAGCAAGATCGATGGAATCTGAACCAACTGGATGAGGACCCAAGGCTGCAAGGTACTTAACATGCTCCAGAGCAGATGCCTCTGAGAACCCACGCTTGCCAGCCTGTTCAGCATCAAGGGGCAAAGGAAGATTTGCAAACTGAAAACGATAAACAGACCAGGATCCATGAAGGAAGACCATCAACAATCCCAGCAATAAAAAAGGTGTCCTCCTGCGCCTGCCATAATCTTCATTTGTACTGACTGCTTCATCAACTTTGGGTTTCTCATGGGTTGTGACAGAAGAGCCTCGCCCTCGAGGCATTCTGCATGTATAGATGTGAAGGACAAAACACCTGAAAAAAAAAACTCTTTTGACAATTAGTTCTACTAATGAAAGAAAATAAAATATGATTTGCTTATCACTCTTCTCACATTTTTCTAGAAGAACAGGCAAAACAACTTAGTGCTATCTTTATAAGGAAAAAGGACACGTTAGAGTGGAAAGCTTCTTTGCAGCATGGTACTGTTTGAGTTCCACTTTTTTCAACTAAAAGTTTCCCTTCAATCCAGGGTAGCATAACATGAACCAGTATTCATTGTTTTATTCAGTATTTTGAATCATTGCAGCTGCCAACGAAGGTTCAATTCCATCTTTCAAGTAGAAGAAATACATGCATAGTCAAATCAGATACAATCCTCTGTGCATTATAACAACTCATGTTAAATTTCTAGCAGGTTCTAACCTTTCCAAGGTTTAGGATTTCAGAACTTGTCTGTTCAAGCAGCAAAACAATATGAGTTTTCATCTGGTTTTCAAGAATACAGAAATGCAAAAAAGAGAAAGAGAGAGAGTGTGTTTGAGCTCACACTTGCTGCATACCCAGTCTGCAGATTTTTAAGGAACCAGTTTGGGTCAGGGCAGAGCATATAATCATTCATATGTCAGGCTGTTGCACAGAATGTGCAGCCCCAGTACTAGCATTTTTGGGTGAAACTTTTCACCACAAAGCCTAAGGGCCCCAACTTAGTTCCATGCACTTGCCATCATGAAAACGATGTGGCCCCTGCCAGCAAACGCTTAATAAAAGTTCCAATTAGCCACAGCAATTACCGTGATCTGGTTTCAACACCATACGTATAAAACAAATAAGTATTCGTACTAAGGCAACTAACGCTGCTCACAGCTGGGAAGCCATCAAGTACATACGTACGGCGCGGCCGCGCAGGTATATCCACCCAGCACGGGCTTAATAAAAGTACCAGGTAACCAGCAATTACCGTGATCTGATTTCAGCATCATGTGTACAAAACAAACAAATAAACACTAAAGCAACTAATGCTGATCTGATGATCTCAGTTTGGATGCATTTAGTACATACGTACAGCGCAGCCAGCCAGGCATCTCCACCTAGCGATACCATCTTATCTAGGAGTAGTAAAAACTCGCTTTGCCCCAGCAAAACCCATCTAATTTCCCCGAAAAAAAACCCCAGCAGCTAGAAACTCAGATCTGCCCAGCGTCCCAGCGCATCCGCGTATCACATCAAAGCACGCAATGCTAGTATCTACTATCTCGCACGAAACTATACAAAAGCAGGCAGAACACGGCATCAACGCACCCACCCACACAAGCAGAGCACACAAGTCAACGTCGCGAAATTCCCACGAAACCCAGTGGGAAGAAGCAGGGGGGCATCCGAGATCAACGAGGAGAGCACGCGGAGATCGGATGGGGGAGAGGAGAGCGGAGACGAGGCGGAGGAATCGGAGAGAGAATTTACTTGGGTTTTCGCTGCTCGAGAGGCGGAGACCCAGAGGAAGGGAGGAGGCGGCGACGACGACGACGACGACGACTCCGCTGCTCAAGGCGCGGAGATGGAGGATATGAGGAGGAAGGGGTGGTGCCGCCCGTGCCGCTGGACGACGTGGTGGTGGGTGGGTGCTGGCGGTGGGACGGAGTGAGAGTATGGGGCGCGGCTCTGGTCCCCGGACGAGGCGGCCTGGAGGGAAGACCGGGAGACTGTGGCCTGTGAGAGAGTTTACGAGGGACGGGATGGGGCGCCGCCGAATCCTTGATTGGGATGCCGGGCTGTGGCCCGTGCAAGGCGGTGGGATCCGTGGGGAGTAGAGTACTGTTTTGTTTGTTACGGTATACAGTCGACACGCCATCACGTGATCCACTCAAGTTTCATCTGCATATTTTTAGCTTCGGCTGTTGCAGCAACTGAATGTAAAAAAAAAAAAAGAATGACAAAGCATCAGTAAATAGACGATTAATTTATACTACCTCCGTTTCATGTTGTGATACAACGGTTATAAAATTTTTTAGCATTGTCCATATTCATGTTAATAAATTTAGATAATGCTAGAAACAGAGAAAGTATCAATAAACCTAACAAAGTCCTAAACCATAGAGTAACTAGCACTGGTGCTTTGTAGAGATATGTTTTTTATATCCTCCAACCCTTATTAGAATATGTATATGATCATATATACTGCCAAAAATCGTTTGTATTTCTTTTGTTTAGGCGAAATTCCGAATTAAACCTGCTAAATCCCTAAACCAAATTCCGAATTAAACCTGCTAAATCCCTAAACCATAGAGTACCTAGAATGGGTGCTACAGAAATATATGTTTTTATATCTCGCATTGAAAATCCTCCTTCCTTAGTGGAATTCGTATATGATCAAATATTATTATTGTCCAAGATTGATTGTATTTTTAATAGGCAATTCCAAACTAAAAACAAAAAAGATGATCCCTTCCTATAGTAGATTACCAAGGAATAATAATCTTTCTTTTATAGGTGAAATTAGATTGGATTTAAATATATATACCATTCCTTGATTATATGAGACAAAAAGAAGAAATGGCACGATTTCTCCTTGATTATATGAGACAAAAAGAAGAAATAGCACGATTTCTCTATAGTTGTAGGATAATTTAGGGTGGTTGTTTAGATCAAATTAGTTCCTCCTCCTAAACTGATATAGGATTCTAATTTCTGGGTAGAAACGATTGACGTGGCGCTGAGGTGTCTAAGTTCAGCGCCACATCGTGTGGCGCTGAACAAAAGGGTCATTTTTAAAATAAGTTTTGGGGACAGTTCATTTGTATAATTAGTTTTTATAAAGAATCAAATTGTCAAAATTAATGCTCAGGATTGCATACTGAGATCTGTTAGACGAGTAGTTTTAGCGCTCACTGCTCAGCGGCACTCCAGAACTCCAGATGTGTCCTGGACTCTGGAGTGGCGAGAGAACACAGGTCAGCAGTCACGCATCATATCTTGAAAAGGCAGGAACTTTACAAGTTCATACTCCAGCTTGGAAGGGTAGGGTGCTGAAAAGATAAATAAAAATCCGCAACATCATTTTGACACCATCAAAATCTCAGGATATAGATTACTAGAATTTTCAAGAAAGGGAGTATGCAGTAATACAATTCAAAAAAAAAAGCGTCAAACGTACATCAATAGTTATGTGATTTAACATAGATGAGGCCCCTCCAGCACTGCAAGCCCAGCATTTTGCCATTTCTAGCACTATCATCAAATGCAAGCACCGTAGATCTGAAAACAGTTGGATCTCTATGGCAGAGTACGATGGCACTTATCAGGCTTTCTTCTTGTACACGTTTAGGCATCTTTACATAGGATCAGCAGATTTTATCTTGCTCCACTTTTCTTTCGCAACAGATCAGCTCGACGTTTTACCTCTCTCTCTGCTGTCTGGACATAAAATTCAGCCCCAAGCATGTTGTTTATCTCGATATTTGATGATACACTTGCTTCAGCAGTCTCAATTATCAGTTCAACTGTCAAAGTGAAACCCAGAGCTGAAAGCACACGTACAGCATTGGCAAGCCGGCAAATATGTTTCCTTGTTTCTAGTGGAGTGAAATTCTCCACTTCAGCACTCAAATTCAGCTTATTTTCCATCATATTAGCGTTTTCACCTACCACAACATGCTCACCTACCCAGATGAATCCATTGCAACCAAGAATCAAGTCAACATCATATTGCTCGAGGTGGTGGAAATGCTGCTTCCGTCGTTTTACCAAGTATGCAGGTACTACAAGCAGTTGACCCCTCTCAAGCTGCAAAATAAGAACATCAGACGAGAAACAGTAACAATCTAATGTTGAATTAGGTAGAAATGTAACATCTTTTGAATTGAAAATACAACTGTGTAACTAAAGCAGTCACATACGAACTACTGAACAACAAACGTCATTATCAAAATTAAGGAAAACTAGGTGTCAAGACTTAACACACATCATGAACTAGCTGTGAACCTTAGCATTATTCATTATTAAATGTCCTTGTCTCCTTGAACTAGTTATAAATCTCCTTTGCATCATTGCATGTCCCTGAACTATTTATAAACCTCCTTTGCATTATTGCTCTGGAAGATAAATATGGAACATTTTTTTTTGCACACACAGCAACACTGTGGACATTTAAATAGAGCATATTCATAATTAAGACAACATGCGGATTACCGAACCACACAGGTCACATAAGAACATAATCTTGATTATTATGGTATGGGCAATGATAGCTGACAGAGTGGTTGATCTGGAATCTACCTTTCCATACTTTTGACTCCGTGCTTGTAGGTGCAGAGATCCATCATGTTGGAAACCACGAACTTCAGCCTGGTAATTAATTCCATGCAAAGAAGCAGCATACCATTTAAACGGTGCTCCAAAATGGAAATTAGTATCTATGACAAAATGTAGAAATATAAATGGGAAATTCGATTTCAAATATGACCAAGTCCCTAGGCTAGAATAATAGATAAAGAAGTATGGGACATTGAAATTTGACCTCACAAACAAAAAATAGTAAACAAAATACAAAATGCTTGATTCAGGCATCCTTTTGTAATCTGCAAGCAAAATGCCTTAAGAGTGGAAGAAATTTCTCCAGAACTAACTAATGCATTCACAGAAAAAAAAAATGTTCAGAAAAATGTGCCAAGTTGAACTGCTGCATTATTCATGGATGTTTGGTGCTAATCAAAATATAGATACATAGGCGACTAGCATAAACAGTTGGTAAAAAATGGTTTTGATAGATGATGAATTAAGTGCATTAAATGAGCAGGTTGAGACTGTTTGCCACTCAATAGGTGTGGATTTACCACTCAACAGAAAGTAACTGATAATCTGCTACCCAATAGTCAATGCACACGCACACTTGATGATTTGCCACTATCACCATTTGGTTTGCATGCTTCCCTCCAGGCCGATCTAGAAGGGGTAGAACGCGGATCATCATTATGTGTGTCTATTGAGAGGCATATTATCATACCTTCTACGGAATGGCAGATACTCAAGTGCACATCTATTGCGTGGCCTAAGTCAAAACCCCTATCAAAATTAAAACCCATTCCAGCACCAAACAAGTTAGTCCTTCTACCTTCAGAGAGAAAGGATAAGTACAATACTTACACAGATAACATCATTTTCTTCAAAAATTGTCCGCATATTAAGTTCATCGACAGCAGTTCTCCTTCTCTAACAATGGGGACAGGGAAAATGCATTAACTAGAATACTAGAGAAAAACGAGAAAATAAATAATGAAATTTGTAATAAAATAACAGTGTCCATCATTTGTTTCTTTGAACATGACAAAATATGTAAACTGTCAAGCAACATTCCAACGATGTCATCATAGTGTATAATTTTCCAAAACAGTAAAATGAATCATTTCTATGTGGCCATAGTGTTTATATGGTGCCATCTATTCAATGGACACCCAGCTAGAGTGACGCTAGTGGATAGACAGCATTGACCCTGACGCACTAGCACGTAACATGCCACCATGTTTCTTCAAACTTGTATTTTCTTTGGTCATTTACATGAAAATTGGTTCAGTTGGTGTTTTTATTCAAATACAATGCTGATCTTGAGCAGTGCTTCTATGCTTTATATCTCCAAGTGAAATAGAATAGTTTTCATTAAAGTATAATTCAAAATTTTAAATGGAATAGTCATCTTTCATCTTTCAACAATGCAAAAGCTAAACTTCTAAGTGAAACAGAATGGCTTTCAATGAATTCAGTGTTTTAAGATAACTAAGGAGACTAGAAAAGGTGCTTCAACGAATGCTGAATGCGTGAAATATCCTTTGTTGTAGTACTCCATATCATTTATTTTCCAGACTGGTATAACAGGAAGATGTAGCTGTGTTCAGCCATCTGACATCCCACAAACTTTGGATATTATAAGCTTTAAGGTACAAAAAAATGAGAAAACTGTACCTGAATTCCATCGGGTAAATTCATAGAAGAAAGCATCAAAACAGCATCTTGGCTAAAATTTATCTCCAACCTCCAGCGTTTAGGTGCAATCTTGAGAAACAAAAATCACGACAGTAGGTTATTTATCTTTTTTAATAGATTTGCATAACATGGATGTTGAACTGACATAATAATAAAGATAGCAGTAGCTGATTTTGTGAAGATGTGACTATAATATTAAACCAGATTTACCAAAACTACCTTACTCCAATTTATGCATATATTATCAGGACTGTCAAAATACTAAGAAATTCTAGCAACTTTTAACTAAATAATCATATCCAGCAAAATGAAGTTTTTATCCCTAAAATGATATTCATGGACCAAAATCAGTAAGAAGAATGTCCAAAGGGTGCCATAAAGCATAATTGTCAGTACCTCAATAACACGGCCAACTATGATATCACCAACCTCCGGCTTATACCTAAAAAGGTCAGAGAGAAAATGGACTAAGAATTGACACGCTCATTCAGATGAAGCTCCCCTCGCTTCCTCTCCACCAACAGAAATCACACGAGCAATTCTTACATTCAGATTGTCCAGACATTCAAAACCAGAAACCAAATAGTTTTAAATAAAAGTAGCTAGGACATTGTATTTTGGTAGCAGAACTCATTACGAACTTGTAAAGTAATTCAAAGTATGTCTCTTCCATGGTAGCAAACTTTTAATGAATTCATAAAGAAGTTGTAATGGTCTGTACCAATCATTTCCACAGCCAAAATATATCAAATCTATGGTTTGATTTGGTGCAAATTACAGGCTCAGAACAAATCCAGCTGCAGCACAGTATATCACAAGTTGTTACCACTGCCTGAGTGCTTCGAAATTGAATCCATAATCCCCATTCTACATATACTCCATCAGTCCATCAACATCCACCCCACAAAATCTACTACTGGACTCGGTACAATAACATAAACCCCGCTCTCATCTCGGAAGCTAGTCCTATAACAAAACGCCCAGGGAAAATACCATTGTTCTGCCAGAGTTATCCAATAAAGGAGCACGCAAATGAACCGCTTTTCAAGGTTCATAAGAAACGGGTAAAACCGCTGGAAAATTGATTCTATGATACGTCAGTGAATCCGAGGAAGGTTAGAGCTTGAGTACCTCGCCCTAAGCGTCCGCACGTACACCAGCTTGTTGACCCGCTCCACCACGCCGCACAGCGTCGCCACCACCTCCCCGTCCTGATCCGACGTCCCATGCCCCCTGCGCGCAGAGAGAGAGAGGAAAACGAGAAACCCCCCATCAGTCCAGCCGTACTGCCGCCACACACGAAAGCTAATACGAGATTGGGAGGGGGGGGGGGGAGAGACAAGGGGGGAAGTGCCTAGCTCTCACTTGAGAATGTTGTCCTCGTCGTTGACGGGGATGGTGTCCGCGACGGTGACGGCGGCGGCGGGGGCGACGGTCTGGAGCTCGTGGAGCGCGGCCTCGAGGCGCACCCTCTGGGTCTGGTTCAGCGAGAGCTGGAGGTCCCTCATGGCGGGCGGCCTCGCGAGCACGCAGGTAGGCGCGGAGGAAGCGGGAGGAGTAGGGTAGAGTAGAGGGTGGCGCGGCGGAAGGGAAGCGGATCGGCAAAAACCCTAGTAAAACCTGCCCAAATCCGGCGCGGGTTCGGCCGGTCTCGAGGAACACGGAGGCGCAGCGCAGCCGCCGCCACGGCAATGCAAGCCTACAGCCTACAATGGGCCGGAAGCCCAGAAAAGGATCGCGATGCTCGCGATGTTGGTTGACATGGGCTTTTTGGGCCGATGTTTAACAGTGCTTGACATCATGGGCCTTTTCACTCACTGGATGTGTTTTATGAACGAACTCGGAACTTCTATTCAGATTCAGAAAAGAGAAATCACATTAACAGACACTTAAATATACAAATTAACCAAATTATTATTATCATATCTTACACACGTTGTTAGTAACCATTTCTTAACACGGTATGCATGTTTTACTTTGGAATATGGGATGCGCAAGATATTTTCGTTCTGTTTTTATTCTTTTTCTTTTTAGCTGCAGATATAGCTAAGAGAATTTGTATGCTCTGCTTGGGCTGTGTTTTTCAACTCTTATCAAGTTGTTTCCGTTTCATATGGAAATGAAATGGACGTCTCTTTTCTCCGAGAGTAACAGGCGAAGCATTCCCGTCCATAAGTTCATCCGAAAATTCCTTAGGAAGAGCTTATTTGTGGACGAGCATGGTTTGTGTCTTGTAGCTGGGAAGGTGACCTTTTCCAAAACAGTATACGTACCTCATCCTGTCCATGTCCTGAAGTTAAGACCTTGTTTAGATAGGAATTAAAACTTTTAGTGCCTATCACATCGGATGTTTGGATGCTAATTATAAATATTAAACGTAGACTATTAATAAAATCCATTCTATAACTCTAGACTAATTTACGACACGAATCTATTAAGCCTAATTAATCTATGATTAGCATATGTGATGCTACAGTAAACATGTGCTAATTATGAATTAATTAGTCTTAAAAAATTTGTCACGCGAATTAGTTCTCATTTATGTAATTAGCTTTATAAGTAGTATATGTTTAATACTCCAAATTGATCCGATATGATAGGGACTAAAGTTGTCCCTGATCCAAATACCACTTAACCTGCTTTAACTCTAGTGAACTGTGGCCGCTTCTGCTAGATCCCCTGTATACATCGCATCACTTCGCGACCTCTGAATGTGATACTCAATAATTCGTCCACAGGGATCAGTAGTAGTGATTGGATGGATCCCCTGTGCCGTGTTCGTCGTGGCTCTCAGCTCTTGAATGAATCAGACAAAAGATGTGGTGAAATATTGTACTGGTACATCATTAGAAGGCTCACCGTTCCAATCAGTGGGTAGAACTGTGTGCACGGTTGCATCAATCTTCTTTTCGTGCCAACCCGGGACCTGGACAGCATGAGTGACCCCGTTTGTCCATAAACGCAAGGCCCCAGCACCGAGAGACGAAGACACCTGTTTACCTCCAAAACAACAGGATTCAAAGCTGGCTTTGTTCTGAAGGACAGTGTTGCTGTCGGTTGCGAGCTGGGACCAATATTAGTCGACCTGTTGCGAACTGATTTGTGCAAATTTGGGTGGTCTTGTAGACGTCTTTTGCGCTAATTCTGAGCTAGTAGGAGTATCACATTGGATGTGTACGACCGATCGATCAAGCGTGCTTTTTTTTTTCTTCTTATTTTTCTTATGGTCGTCAGATCTGAAAAGAACTGTCGGCCGGTAATGCCGGTAATCAGTGAGGAATCAGTACCCGATGCAGCAGCAGTACCAGCTGCCTGTGCCTCCTCGGAGCAAATGGTACATGTCCCAGTATATGCTAGTGCAATTATGCTACTCGAGTAAAAGAAAAAAAGTAATGTCAGTAGATATGGTTTGTGTTCTGGAAGATGCTTGATTGCTTGCCTAATGGGGTGACTGGAAAGTACTTAGATAGCGAAGGACTAGACATAAGACATGGACTCGGAGGCTTGATACGGAAGTCATAAAGCAAATCATCTCTACATGGGCAGTAACCACTCGTCATTTGCCCTTAACTCTGAAGAATCAACGAATCGGTTTGCTGTCTTGATGCATCATGCATCTTTCGTCAAAGGGCGACGCTCCGATGCTTTCTACTTGTAGTATATACAAGTATAATTAATCTGAACCGTTTATTCTATTTTAGGACACATCGTATTTTATATCCGGAATTCATCTGGGAATGTCCGAACCAAGTTGGAAAAAAACACGTGGTTTTTTTTTGTCATATACACATAGAATAAAGGAGAAATATTATTTTAGAACAAAATTGGTTATGTCCGGAATCCGTCCAGTCTGTCTGGATCGGGTCGATTAAAAAACATGTGGTTTTCCGTCCAGTCTGTCTTGTGGACAAAGAACAAATGAGAAATGCTATTTTAGGATAAATTTGGTTACAACATGCGAAATCCATCCGGTCTATCCGGACTGGGTCAATTAAAAAACACGTGGTTTTTCGCTCGTGCGCATATAGAATAAAGGAGAAATATTATTTTAGGATAAAATTGTTACGCTCGGAATCTGTCTGGTCTGTCCAGACCGGATCGATTAAAAATTAAGTGTTTTTTAGTCTTGCGCACATAAAACAAAGGAGAAATACTATTTTAGGAATTGGTCACAATGCTCGGAATCCGTCTGCTTCTGTCCGGACCCTCGAGTCGATTAAAAAACATGTGGTTTTTGCTTGTGCGTATATAGAATAAAGGAGAAATATTATTTTATGACAAAATTAGTTATGCTCGGAATCGGTCCGATCTGTCCAAACCGGGTCGATTAATAAAACGTGTGGTTTTTACGTATTGTAAACATAGAACAAAGGAGAAATACTATTTTAGCACAATAATGGTTACAAACTCTTGGAATTCGTCCGGTCTGTCCGGATCCACGGGTTGACCAAAAACACGTGGTTTTTTTGCTTGTGCGCAGAAATATTATTTTATGACAAAACTGGTTACGCCAGAATCCGTCCAGCCTATCCGGACCGGGTGGATTAAAAAATACTCCCTCCGTTTCAGGTTACAAGACGTTTTGACTTTAGTAGAGAGCTACAGATATTTGTAATACTAAATTATTTATATTTTCATAATAATTTTGTCTTGGGTTAAAAATGTTGCTACTTTTTCTATAAATATAAAGTTGGTCAAACTTAAAATAGTTTGACTTTAACCACAACTTATAACCTGAAACGGAAGGAGTACATTGTTTTTGTTTTTTGGACCAACCATATTATTCCTGTCAGAATCTATCCGTATGTCAACCGGGACTTTCCGTTTTTCATCTATGTTGTTTTCTCTATTTTCTCTTTTTTTCCGTACGTACGAGATCCATTTTCTTTTTTCGTACGTACGAGATCCATTTTCTCCGTTTCCACTGCAGTTTCTTTCCCCTATTACCCCGTTTCCATCCATTATCGATCCGTCCGTTTCCATCTATTATCCCGTCAATTTATCCTGTTTTAACGTGATTTGTTTTCTCCGTTTGCACTTGCTGTTTCTTTCCCGTACTATCCCGTTTACAATTGGTGCGGTTTATATTTTTAATCGTATCGAGTTCTTTACCGCTATGGAATTAATGTTATTAATGGCAGTGAATTCCCAATCTGAACATATACCATGCGGCGGAGCAGGCGAGGTCGTCCGAGGCGGCGATGACGGCGGAGGAAGGAGCTGCGAGGTTCTCTTCGCCTCGGCTTAGGTTAGGGATGGCGTTGGCTCTGGAACGAGAGAGGAGAAAGTGCAGCTAAGGTTAGAGAATAAAAAGGACGAAAATACCCATCCGTAAATATTTTTTCCTAGACAAATATACCCCTCTACGATTCTACTACCGTTAAATGTAGTTGGAGTAGAAATAGATTTGAACCCTCCGATCAGATAAGATCAACGGTTTAGATTATTTTCTACTACGAGTAGAAAGCACCGGAGTGGCTGCATTCGTCAAAAGGATAGACCTCACCTCATCCCGTGGTTAAACTTTAACCGGTCGCTGCCTCGCTGGTGCTTCGTCACCAGACGAAAGATTGATGGATGTTTGCCTTTGGAGAAGATCGAGAGTGACCGTGAAATGTGATGGCATCAAGATGACATTTTCTGCATTTGGGCGCGCAACTTGAAGGAAAATGTAGTAAGCACTTTGCAGCCTGTAGGGAGTAGCGACCGTTTTCTATTGACGTATATGGTGTATATACCGATTTCCGTAAAAAAAAAGTGAAAATGTTAAGAAAACAAAGGACTGTACAATGTACTCCCTCCATCTACTTTTGATAGTAATATTTTCAAATCTAAAAAATCTATTTTTGATAGGCATATTTCAATCCAACAACCTATCATCTTAATGACTTTCTCGGATTTAATGCATGACTCTCCATTCTTCCACACAAGATTGGTTGCATGGACATCGAGAAATGTAAAAAATTAATGAATCGCTTGTTTACGAGGAATTACTAGTAGCATGTTTAAATAGATAATAAGTAGAATCACTTATCCTTGATCTGTGTATCAAGATGAAAAATGACTATCAAAAATCGATGATTGCAATGTCCTTTGTAGCAAAGCACTCCACGTCAAGGGAACACCTTGCGGGTTCAAACTAAACAACCGCAGGCAGTACTACATAAGGATAAGGATATGTTATATTCAATGATAGAGACGAGTATGGTCTCTTAAATAATACAAGATTATTTAGAGATCGTGTCTTTACAATAGTAGAAACGAAAAAGGCTCTAATTATTAACCCAAGAAATATTCCTTTTGTTAATATTCTTTCTATTTTTTTAATCCTCATGCAACCATATTTTCATATTATAGTGATTAAGAGTCGTTGTTAGACACTGTTATGCATAACAACGATGTTTGTCTCTCCCTCTTTCTATTTCTTCCATATCATCAAGTATTCCTAATTAGCAACGTGACGGAGCGTGGGGCTCCTCACCGGGAGACCGCGCAGGCCCCCCTTTGCCGGTTCGGCCGGGGGCGCTAAGTGAGATTCTTCGCCCTCGATCTGAGGAACGTCAGCGAGAGAGGAAGTGCACAAGACACGGGCGACGTAGACAGGTTCGGGCCGCTGAGAAGCGTAACACCCTACTCCTGTGTTCTGGTGGATCTGTGCGTGAAGGAATACAGAGAGCCCGAGAGCGAGAGAGAGTT